GGAACTGGGGTCTGCACTGATGAGGGAGGGCACTTCCTTGCCAAGCCACCCCACTCCTCTTGGAGCCCCCAGCCCTACCACTTGGAGCGCCAGGGCTGAGCTGGTTGTTCCCGTGCCTCAGGCACTGGCGCTGCGCCATGGGGCTGCCACAGCCAGGACCCTGTAGGAACGTCAGCTTGGCACAAAAGGGTACTAAGTGGCTGGAGTCTGACGAGGCACACACTGTAGCTACCCATCCCCTGCTGGCCCATGCCCCACTGTTGCCCCCGCACTCACATCCATGCGCTTGCTCTCGTAGAAGTCGGCCGAGCGCCGGTCCTTCACCATCTTCTCAATGATGTCGCCGCGGCTCCAGCCGCTGAACACCACCTTGCCGTGCTGGTAGCCCACGTCCTGCATGAAATGGATGGGCAGGGTGAGGGGCCCACTCCTTCCAGCCAGCTGCGGGGGGACTGGCCAGGCCAGGCTGCACCCGCTGCAGAGCAAGACATGGATTTGCCCTGGGTGCTCCAACGCAGCTGGGGGGGCTGCTCCTCACAAGGGTGGCCATCAGATTTCCAACCCATCCCCTCAAGCAGGGCCTCTCCCTCCCCAACCTGGGCACAGCCAGTGGCCCAGATCAGGGCCTCCCACCCTCCCCACCCCCGGCCAAGCACAGACCATCCCGCCACCCAGATCGGGGCCTCTCGCCCTCCCCACCCCCGGCCGAGCACAGACACTCCCCCCACTCCCTGATCAGGGCCTCCCACATTCCCCACCCCCATGGCCCAGACCATCTGGACTCACGTAGATCTCATCAAACTTGCCAAAGTCCATGGTTTTGAAGCGGTCGATGGGCGGGCGAATGTATTCGCAGTAGGAGCTTGACTTTACTACCTCCAGCTGGCGCACACACGACACATAGGCCAAGCGCGACTGGATCTCCGCCATGTCGGGCACCTGTATGTGTGTGGGGAAAAACAGGAGTGTCCTGCAAGGGGGTGGATCAGCCCCACCTGGGACAGCATCCTGGGTAAGGGGGCTGCAAGGGACAGTCTCTCCTAAGTTCTGCAGGTCTGACCCCCACCCCCACCCCAGCTGGCTCAGTCCAGCTGAGTGGCTGGAGCTGGATCCCAGCAACTGCCACTGGGGCATCAGGAGTGACTGTGCCCAGCCAGCCTGAGGGAAGCCACTGGCTGCCAAGGCAGGCCCGCATGCTCAGGCAGGAGCAGCCCTGGGAGGCAGGGGCTGTGGCAGAAGGGACCCTGCCAGCACCTAGGGCTGTCGCTGCCCTTGGGGTAGG